ATAGCTCAGGGCTGTGAGGCGGCCCGCGGGAGCCCGAGGGATGCCCGCGGTGCGGCGGGCAGCGCGCCGCTCCCGTCGGGAGCGCCTGTCCCCCGCGGTTAGAGCGAGAGCCGGGCGGACGTGTCTCGGTCCCCATGGCAACGCGGCTGCTGCGGTGCCTTGTGCGCTCCTTGTGCAGCGCACACGGCTTGCCAGTGAAAGATCTGGAACTGGGGAAAACTAGCTCGGGAGACAAAAGGGAGAGCGCGTGCGAAAGGCACAAAGCACACTTTGGTTCTGTAGCACGGTTCCCAAAACAGCAGCCCTTGACGGGTCCAGAAAGACCCGGATCATGCTTCACGTACAGCAAAACCATCAGATACATTTATCACAAGATCAAATGTACTTGAGGTTTATTTTCCGTTAATTTATTCCCATGTGTGTGTTGCAACACACTGCAATAGCAAAGCTGTTTGATAGAAATGTGCTTCTGACACTTGTAAAGGGTTAAGTAGTTTTGGCACCCTTTGTTATGTCCACAGCTCTATTGGGAAAATGCAGCCATAGGCAAATATTTACATAAAGGTTGTGCAATCCAGATTTTCATTCCAAACAAATTTTGAAAGTGTTACCATTATTTTGTATTGTTACCATATTTTTCTTCCTAATTCGTTATTATGATGCCCATAATGAATTTGAAATACATTTTGTATTATTACATTCTGTATGTATAAGGGGACAGTATAATCTATTTTTTTTTTTGCCCTTGTCAAAAGCATTGGATTAAGTGGGTATCAGATAGGGTTTGTTTCAGATGCACTTAGCTAAAAAGGAGGTGCTACACCTTTCATTCAATAAAGGGCTCCTAGTGCTGAAATTGGCAGTGTCTCCATTTCTGCTGGAATTTTGATTATGTGAACATGCACTTACGTCTTTCAAAATGGTTGGTTCCTCGGAGTAAAGCAGCAGCTTTTACCTGCCAGCTCAGAATTAGTTGGGTTTTTTTTGATAAGTAGGGCAAATGCATTGTCATTTTCCATAAAGGTTCAGATAAGTAGTGCTTACATCTTGTAAGGACATGACAGCTCACAGTGTCTGTTAGATCTCCTTTTAAAAACAAATCTACCCAATAAGATGCTGGATACTATACATAAAGCATGGAATTTCAATTTTGGAGGTTTCAAGCATTTTATCTAATGATAGAACAGAACTGTCTTTTCTTGCTGCGAGGAAAAGAAAATATTCATGTAATCTGAAGCTAAAGGAACCATAACCTCAAAGTAGGCGTATTAAGATTTTGCACTCTTCTGGCTTTTTATATGTGCTGCAGACTTTAAAGGGTAAGCTGAGTCGAGTATCCCAGGCTGACTGGATGAGTGAGGTTTTTTGCTGTACATCCACTTGTGTCAACACAGAAATTATATACCAAGGAAAGTATAATGAGGCAATCACAGTCATTACAGAAAGAGAAAATGATTCGTCATTAGAATGGAGATGCTCACCCTCCTGTGAAATAAATCCTAGCTAGTAATTAAAATTAATACTGTACTGCATCCAGAAAACACGAGCTTCACATTTTGACTAGCCTAGACAGACCTATTCCTGGTTTTCTTTAAATCAAAAGCAACACTGATGCTGTCAAGTTCATGCTCCTGAAAATTTTTCACACTCCAGCAAATGAACAAGGTTTAATAATTATTTTTTTAAAGAAAAAAAAAAAGAATACCTGCTTCCCCACTACAAACATTAGTCCAGCTGAAAAGGCATAAAACTAGCAGGTTTATTAGAGGATGTGACATTCTGTAGATTTTTAGTGACCTATACTTCCTGGAACAGTGAGCACAATGGGAGAAAGAGATAACTGTGAAAATGACCACTCACAAAAGAAAAGGTCAGGTTCAAAACTTTTTTAACAGATTTCTACTAGTGCCAGTGTTTTGGATCAAGCCCAAAAAAGGCTTCAGGATGAAGGCAGAATCCAGTCAAAAAGGAAAATGTATCTGCCAGAGCAGAGGTCTGCAGTCCAGACACACACAGTTTGCAAACGGAAAATTATTTCTCATCTGTCTTATGAAGAATACTGTCCCATGCTCATGAATCTTATGTTTTTGTTAAATGTAAAAAAATCCATCTCATGTGTTTAATGGTAAAAAAACCCTTCAGTACTACCCCTACATCAGCCTGAACTTATAGATAGCTTGAAATTAAATGTAAAATCAATATAATCTTCTCTAAATTTTACATAATTTCTTATCTGCCTGACCTTCCACAAAGTGAAATTACTATGGGTTAAGTTTCTTGAGGAAATGGGTAAAAGAGCACCAAATGAAGTTACTCACAGGCTTGACATACAGAAGCAGTGAAATGGAAATCATCCATGCTTGTGTTACACAGGTCACACAGGACATGTCCATGCCATACAAGGAATACAGGCTTGTTTTCTGTTTCAGTTTCTATCCTGTACAGGAGGAGCTGCTGTCATCAGCCATTGCAATACCCGAGACAAAATTCCCAAAAGGACCACATAGTTCCTAAAGTGGATACCAGCATCTCTCAAGAAGGGCAAGAGAAAAAAAATATGGCAGAAAAATAAAGAGGAGGAGAAAAGAGTACCCTTGGGACTTTGAATTTCTAGATAGGAGGGAGTCACATATGGGACACATATTCTTCTGAAAAAGAGATGGATAAGCAAACTCCATTGCTTTACTCTGTAATCCAGGCCAAAGTAGGCATGAAGGAGTGGGGATGTGGCCAGGGTTGAGGAATTGAGGTAGGAGGACAGGCCCATTTCTGTTGCACGCTGTTGGTGTTCAGTGTGAGCCCACATGGAGGTTGGTCATTTAAATTGGAGGTGCCACATTCCTGCTGTCCCCCAAGCCCCAAACTCCCACGTGTGCACTTGTGCTGGCACTGGAGCTCAGAATACCAGCGGATAAGAGAGTTTGGGAAGCCAGGCTGCCCAAAGATGAAGACCTTTTATTTTCAGCGAGCTGAGCTCCCTGAAGTGTTTTCCTGGTTATTTGCCTGCTTGCCAGCTAGCATAAAAAAAAGGGAGTGGCTGGGTGGCAGGAGGGGAAAGGGAAGGACTGAGAGTCAGCTGGGTTCAGTTTCAATCAACACCATATCTAGAGCAGTGTGAATGGGAAGGTCTGACTTGTGCAGACATTTTTTTCCAAAATAAATTCTGTCAATGCTTATACTGGCATCTGTGCCCGACGTGAGGAACGGGCACTTGTCCTGCTAAGCTTTTTGGCACGAACTGCCCTTATCAGCATTAGTTAAACCAGCCTGGAACAACTCAGGCTGATATGCTGAAAATAGCTGCCAGAGTCAAGAGATAGTCTACACTGAGTTCTCATCAACTCGGGATGGTTACAGCAAAGGATTTGGGAAGGCAAAGTTACAGAGAGCTGAGTATTTGATCACAAAGCTTAGAGTGCAGCTCTCCTGTTCAGTCCCAGCCAGCAGAGCCCGGAGCAGTGTCCTGAGAGCAGCTTTCCAAACTCCCTGCTGGGACAGGTCCAGTGAGGGATCATCCCGTCCTCAGCTTCCCCAGGGAGTGCTGCACCCTGTGACCAGGATTTGCCTTTTCTTTAACAACCTTGGGCTGTTTCCAACTAAGCTTTCATGCACTTACAGCCTTTTTATAATGATAACTAAACACAATCCATTACTGGGGAAAATAAAGAGTAAAGGAAAAATTATCCAATAGTAGCTGAGGTTTAATTGTCTTTAATTTGACTTAATGTTTTTGAGAGCCAGTCTAGTTTCCAGCTCAAATAACAGCTTTCCCATTTAGCACCTCACTCAAGTGACAGTTGTACTGAGAGTAAAATTCACACCTTGCCATGCTCCTCTTTTTGGAGACAATTTTTAGCAAAAATGTTTTAAGAGGTCAGCAATTTACACCTTTGTATCTATGTAATATTAAAGCTTAGAAAAATAATTTGCCTTGAATAATTTTCTCTCAGTGGTTACTTGGATGCTTGCATCATTTCAAAACAGAGAAAGGAGAAAGAAGGAAGAACTACCAATGGTGGTGAGAGTTAACCCAGGCTTAAAGCTTTATATTTTTGCTGTGAAAAGGAAGCAAAATCCTTGTAATATAAAATAGATTTGCTTTGTTTGAAGTCCAGAAGAGGAGTACATAATGTGATTCATCTTTATAGAAATATGAGTGTTATCTTTTCTTAGTTATATATTTGTATTCAAATTTATTTGTGTTCACATTTTCATTGTCCATGCAGATGGCAGTAAAAGTGCAATGTCTGCTGGCTGGAACATTAATGCAATAGACAATACAGACCCACACTCTTGCAAACTATTTTTTCTGAGCTTATATTCACCACAGTGATGATTGAAGAACACTTTTCTTAAAAAGACAAAAAGATGTGATTTGCAGAAGTGATGAGGAAATTCAGGTTATCAGAAGAGAAATCTCATCTTAAATGCACCATTAGCGGCTGAGCTGAAGATTTTCAGGTTGAACCCATTACTCTTTTTCCTATCATTATATTTCCTGATGAAAAGCCCCTCTCCATCTTCCTTGTAGTAACCTTCAGATACTGGAAGGAACTCTTTGGAGAGTACAATTGAACGGGAAGTTAATCACAGGTATGCCAGAGGCAATGGGCTTTCATACTTAATCCTACTCAGGTCAGTTTTAATAGTGTAGAACTAGTAGCTGATGGTGGCTTGGTCTGCATTATGAACTTCCAGGTTATTTTATTTGTGCAAGGCATTCATAAAGGGTACTTTAGCACTAATCAGTCTCTTTGGTGTCTGTTCCTACCACTTGAGACTCCCATGACATTTCCTGAACTGCTACTCACCTGCCACTGTCCTGAAAGGCAGCCAGGTTTCTCCTGGTTGGCACTGCTGACATTGCCTGGTCACTAGCAAGCTACTTAAAGCCCTTTCCTGGGATGAAATCCCAGAACCCTGAGGCAAGGTTCTCTGTAATCTGTGGAAACTACACTACCCCTTCTTACCAGGCATGG